ACGATATCGTTTTTCGTTTTTCGAAAAAAAAAAACTTTACAATTATATCCGTTAAAGAGACATTTGTCTTATTATCTAATCTTATTTATCATGGTTTCGGTTGGAGTGTAGGTTTTTGATAGTTTGAGTGTAGGTTTCTTCTTTTTTAGACGTCAGTTACGCTATCTACCTGTTCACAGAAAAAATGCAGGTGTTGCGTTTAGCCCTTCTTGTCATTTTGATGTATTCTTATGGGTAAGCGTGGAAATTGTCCCAATATAACGCAGATTTATTGCTGCGAGTTCTGTTGTATAGTCTTCAGACCTCTTTTCCTTTGTTTCTAATCTCTCTTTTCTCGAAGTGAATAACTTTCTTCGAAAAACTTTACAAATATTGTTGACATTCCTGTTTATGTCGTCAGTGTTTAGGCTATCATAGTTGAGTTGTCCTAACCTAACCTATATTTTATCAATCTTCCGAATTTCATCCAGCCTGCTTCGTTGACACCCTACGTGGAGTCTGCATTGCCATTATTTATTCTTTCCATCAGAGCCAGTTTTGCCGTCTTACTCCGATGGAGGTTTACCCTGGATGGATGACTAGTCCTCCATTAAACGGTCATCATCTCCTAGGCTCCCTCACTCTTTTTGCTAGGCGTTTCTTCCTCGCTTTTGGATTCCTTTTCTCCAATCCTTGCCTTCCCCTTTTTTTGAATTTAGAATTTGAGTTCTAGTTGGGATACCATTTTTAAAGTTCGAACTTAATGGTATTTATAGCGAGATTTCTAAAAAGTTATAGAGATCTGCTGTTTTTTAATTACAAAAATTATGTCACCTTCTTTCTAAACATTTATTTTATTTATTTATTTATCGATATAAATCTAGCACCGTGAGAATAATAAAATTCTTATGAAGTGGTGCTAGTGGTACATGTTTTTATATTAATTACAAAAATATATGTCACCTTTTCATTTTTTCATTTTTTTTTTTTTTTTGATCCTCCCCCAAAAATTACATAATGACTTTCACTTTTCTCCCGCATCCAAACGAAAAACCTCCAGTGACTATGGAAATGGTTTTCTTTTTTGTAATCAAATCCTTATTGAACAATGATGATGGCCATATTGAACAAACATTATGCCACTGCAGTAGGCCATCATTAAAATGGTCAGCACCAGACAGACAGACAACCCACAACCGATGCCATTGTATTAACAAATGTGGAGCTGCTGCATCTTCAAATTATCATTGCAAATGTACACCACAAAACTGGTTAGTCACTCACCCTTCCATACGAGGATCAGCATGCTCTCGGCCTTTTTGCAAAACATATCATCTCCGACTATTGCCAAAAAATTGTTTTTTGCAATTATCTATCAAGCCAAACAAAGTTTTTCCGGTTATAAAACCGATGTGACTTTTCATGTGATTTTGCACTCAGCTGCTAAACAACAAAATACATATTTTGGGAAAAAAAAAGTGCAAGTTATTGTCTGTCTGGTGGTGTCAACGACGATGGCGACGAAGATGATGATGGCGATGACTACCCAATAACAAAGCCACCACCACCGCAATCACCGAATTCTCTGGTATAAATATTCAACCCATCTGCCATTTGAAGTCAGTTAGAGTTTCGCAGAGTCTTGGATTAACAATTCGCTAAAGAAAGCTTAACGGGAGAAGAACTGCCATACAAAAAAGGAATACAGTCCAATTCACCATGAAAGTACGTTGGAAAGCAAATTTTGAATTTTAATAAAAAAAAATCGGAAAACGTTTTTAAAGGACTTTTGAAAAATAACATACAATGTGTGTTGTTGTTGTTGTGAAATTCAAAAGAAAAAACTGTGTAAAAATTTATATGTATATATTTTTCGAACAAAAATTTGATTCGAACACTAAAAAATTAAAGTTTTTAGTAAACATATGTGGTTCCATGCAAGATCATTCAGTAGACCTATAGAAGATGCTACACCCATAAAATACTTATAGATAATCTGCTACACACAGAAGGTCTCAAATCCATAGAAATTCTATAAACAATGAAAAACGTCGTTGTGTTCCGAACTTCTTGCGCACTTTCAAAATTACCTCAATCGCTAGGGACCACTATATGGGGACTTTGACGTTGTACATTATCTGCTAGTAGATTGTTTACGCTCTATGGAAATTATATACCAAATTGCAGACACTTCGATTGAAAAAATACCAATAATTTGGCGGGAACATAATATGGGCGTTATTTAAGAATTTTGGAAATAAGTTTTTTTTTATTTATCAGGAATTCAAAATATCATCGGTGGCAAATGAAAACCATATATTTGAAAATCTGTATGTGAAATATATGGGCGCACTTCTTACACACGTTATTCCAAACATATATCGGTACTCTGTGCAATCGATATAACGCTGGGTATTAATTGCAAAATTATAAAAATACGCATTATAGGCTCATCAAACCACCCCGCGAAAAATATCATTGTCACATGGTGTAACATTTATATGAAATCGGACGAATTTCATATAAATCTGAACCGATTTCTACAAAACGTCAACATAAGCTTTATTCGGTACGCTACTTTTAATTTCGTATAAATGTAAGGAAAAATATGGACTTTGTTACACCATTTACATAAAATCAGGCGAACATATATATATATACGGTGCTATATCTAAATCTGAACCAATTTCAAAGAAACTTAACATGCATCATTCTGAACTCAATTTTACAAGCTATGCACAATTTCTTGCAAATTGAAAGAAATTTAGAGATTTTGGTGTATCATTTACCTAAAATCGGCTGAAAATATGTATGTAAGCTATTTGAAAATCTGAGCCGATTTCAATTCGCTATGCAAAATTTCGTCTCAATTGAACCAACCTTGGGAGTTTAGGGCACAATTTATATAAAATCCGACGAAAATATATATGGGAGCAATATCTAAATCTGAACCAATTTTAACGAAACTGTAGGCTATATACCTATATTGGAAATTTTCTGCAAAGGCGTTTGTCACCAAACAATAACCTAAAATGTCAAATTACTGTAAATGATAAACCAAAATATCGATTTTTTCCGCAATGATATTTTTTACCCTCCAAGAAATCGGAACCGCTATATGAAGGCCATACCAAAAACTTGGACCGATATATTCCAATTTCATTTTATTCAATATTCTTGAAATTATCCTGACTTCTGCTAGTCACGAAGAAATATGTTTAAAAACCAACCCTTTTATTTCTAGATAGCCCTTCAAAGATATTTTTTAAAAATTCTTACCCTCAATCCTGGTAGACTTGCGTACATTTTATTTAAAAGCCCATTCATTTAGTCCCGTAGTCCTTCATAAAATATATTTAAAATCAGTGAGCGTAGCAGTATAGTCGGACGGGGCCGATCATGCGAAACCCTACACAACTACCACGGAACTTTAACTTTCTGTGGATGTTTATTTCGAGCCTGGGCAATATTTCGTGATATTTGCACCCTCTTGACCGATTAGAGATCAACAGTACCTCTTCCTTACACTGACATATTTTCCGATTGTTCCCAATATTCAGTGCAGCACTTCTAATTAATTGTCCAGTTTCCCTTCACAAAAAGAACAAAAAATTAAGTTTTCGGTCCAATCCATTCCAAAATTATTAACTGATAATCGCCGAAAAATTAGGCGTTGTGCTTGACCATACCATGATGCTCATGGAAATTTTCAATCCAATGGTAATGGGTTACTAAATAATATATGAATACGTAAGCACTTAACTTAACTTCTCTTAACTTCCACATCCGAGTACATCCTCTTGGATATACAATCAACTTCTCGGGTCTATGTCCTTCATAGGTATATACGCTATACAATACAAATGTTGTCATTTTTCACTCAAAAGTCAATATTGGCCAATCTTTATCAAAACAGGCATGCTCATTCTTTTGCCCGATCACATTATCCTTGTAAAAAATCGCGATGCTTGGGCCAAACTTGCAGACTCTGGAGCGACCAGAAAATCAGACAAATATAAACGCTTTGGCCCATTTCATACGCTAAATCATAACCAAACATTACCAAAAACAATAAGGGGTCTTCATTGGTCAGAACCCATCCTACATGCAAAATTTAGTGATGACTGGTCCATAACTGTGGCCTGTATCGTGTTTACAAATTTTTATGGACAGACGGACGGACGGAGCGTCTAGGACCAATGTTTCGCGGCGTTACAAGCCATTAGGTATGCACAAAGCTATAATACCCTGACAATATAGTTGTGTAGGATACGAAAAACTAACTTTTGCTGACCCTGACTGACCTTCAGAATATATTTTATACATTTTTTTTGTTATAATAGTGCATCACAAGGTACCCTATAAAAAACACTCTTCATCTCAAAAAAACTACGTTCTCAATATAAATAGTCTTATATTTCTGATAGCACTCCGAAAATATATTTTAATAAATCCTGGCGTTTACAAAAATCAAAAATTAATCGACAATTTCACCAAAGACAAAGTTTCTATGTCTTTGATTTCACTTCTGATAGTCCCTCAGAATATATTTTATAGAATTCCATGCTTTTTGTTAGAAAAGTGCCTCAGAAAGTATCCTCAAAAAATACACACTCTTCATCCTGATATTCTCATAAAATCCACGTTCCCAATATTAATAGTCTTTTATTTCTAAAGGCACTACGAAAATATATTTCAAAAATGGATACCCTCATTTCTGATAGTCCTTTCTTTAAACCCCCACGCTTTTAGTTCGGATAGTCCACAGAAAATATTCTTCAAAAATATTCTTAAAAAATCCCAGCTTTTATTTCTAATTGCCTCTCCGAAAATATTCTCAAAAAAAATCACACTCTCAATATTAATAGTCCCGTAAAAATATCCTTAAAAATTTGTTTTTAGTGCCTTCGGAAAATAGTCTTAAAAAGATTTTAGTTCTGATAGTACCCCAGGAAATATTCTTCACAAATATACTTTAGGATTTGAGGTGATAATATCTTTTGTTTTGTTTTTATTTTCAGGCCTTTGTTTGTTTACTTTTAATTGGCGTTGCTTCGGTAACGGCCAAACCAAAGCCTGGAGGTGGTGGATGGTCTAGCGGCGGTGGAGGTGGCGGGGGAGGATGGTCTTCAGGAGGCGGAGGAGGTGGTGGCGGCGGAGGTGGCGTACAAATTATTAAAATAATAACAGAAGATGGTGGTGGCGGCGGCGGTGGCGGCGGTTGGTCTTCTGGTGGTGGAGGAGGCGGTGGCGGTTGGTCTTCGGGTGGTGGCGGTGGAGGAGATGGCGGCGGAGACATTAAAATTGTTAAAGTCATTAGCCTAGGAGGTGGTGGAGGAGGAGGCGGCGGCGGTGGCTGGTCATCTGGAGGCGGTGGTGGAGGAGGTGGCGGTTGGTCATCTGGTGGTGGTGGAGGCGGCGGAGGTGGCTCTACCAAAATCATCAAAATAATAAAGTTAGGAGGTGGTGGAGGCGGTGGCGGTCATGGCGGCGGAGGTGGTGGAGGCGGTTGGTCTTCTGGCGGTGGTGGTGGCGGAGGCTGGCAACCATCCGGTGGTTGGGCTTAAACCGTTTTTCCCATCACACTTGTTATTTTATGTTTAATGTTTGCCAAATTTTATTTTTTTTGTTTTTGTACATAATATTGTAAATAATTCATTGCGTATATACTTTTGTACATATGTGTTTGTCAGTATATAAATGTAACATATTTTTGTTTCATAAATAAAAGAAATGTATATTTTTAACAAAATAAAAATATAAAAACAAGTAAAAATGTCAGTCGGTGTTGCCGACAGATATACATATATCCTCAGTCAGGCGCCTACGGAGAGGTTGGGCCATGGGTGCGCAGGTGTTCTGCCATGTTTACACTACACAGTGTTTACTTTTGTAAGGTGAACGCTTTGATAAAGATAAAGACGTCCCGAAGACCCTAATTCATATAAAGCATCCCAGGTGATTTTTGAATTCTTGCATCCAAATTCCGCTGATCATGTGTTTCCTCCTCGAGCAAGCTCATCGGCTATCTCATTCTCTTCTATGTTACTGTGTCCTGGAACCCAACATAATTTTACTATCTGTTGTATATCATGTAGAGCATCCTTGCAGTAACGAACCGCTTTTGGGTTAATAGTACAAGACGTAAGTGCCTTAAGGGCCGCCCGACTATCGACGTATATAGTTAGCGGTCCTATGTTGTCGAGTAAACACCTGCACCATTACATTCCTCCATATTCGACCCGTCTGTAAATATCGACAGACCGACCAGAGTTAAAGAACCACTTGCCCAGAAACTCTAATGTTTTTATGAAAGGGAGTATAGTCACTCATGTGAGCACTCCTCTCTAGAAGGTCACAAACTGACATTGTGTTTAGGATAGTAGCATGGCCAAAGTTCAGCGATTTCCAGGCATCCGTTTACCGTAGCCTCAGTTCACATCTTACAGCCTGGAATTTAACCAGAAAGTCCAGTGGTTGGAGATTCAGGATTGCATTCAAGGTTGCCTGTTTTGTACTTCTTAGCGCTCCAGTAATCAGGATCGACGCCGATCGCTGTACATCACTCATTTTGGCCAGCAGTGTATACTTATTTACCCCTTGCCACCCTAAAAGCAGCCAATGTACGAATGGGGAGTACAACCGTTATATACAGCCAGTGTATGATCTCCGGTTTTAGTCCCCAACACTTACCTATAGAGTAGTAGCAGGAGTAGTGCGTTCCTCAACATTCCTTTTCCACGTTAGTTTGTGGTCAAGGATTGTACCAAGGTATTTTGCTTCTAAGGAAAGGGCTGGATGTGACTCCACCCAAAGATGGTCTATACAACTAGGAAAGTGGTTGATGATAGAAGATCAAGAGTCTCTCTGCCATAGTTAGTCCACGTTCCGTCGCTTCGCTTAATACTACCTATAGATTTTGGATCTTGAAATATTACTTTGCAGAATATGGCCGCTTCGTTCACCCCTTCGATTGACTCGCTATAGCACACCTAAGACTCACGATTAGCCTTCTTGATTTCTGGTTGGTGCCTATTGAATTGTTCTCTGTAACGGTCCCAATCTGTACAAAGTTTCGTCTTACTACCTTTACCTGAACCATACCACCATACCGCCTGAAATTTCCTCCCAGGGCCTATCAAAGTTCAAGAAGCCTTTAAGCACTCAGAAGAGTCCCTGTGACATCGTTCACAGTTTTTCAAAACATCCTCAATCTTTCCGACCAAGTGTTGTGGATGCTGTTTTAGCTTTACATTTATCCCAGTTTATCTTCCAAGGATTCCTATAAGATTTCGGTTTTCCTCCGGAAATAGGAATCTGGAAAATTCGCATCTTATGGTCCGAGAAGGAGCATTTTTCAGATACTCTCCAGTTCGTAAACCCAGAGTCGTCCATATGTGTGAGGGTTTGTGTGACTCTTACTCTATTTACGAGCGTTGCTGTATTATCCCTATTAAATATCCTAAGATTATTTCTAAGATTATCCTCTTGGATTGGTGTCACTGCTACCCAAGTGGAAGTGATGGGCGTCACATCCAATGACGGGATTGCCAATGTTTCTCACAGCCTCCATATGGTTTTGTACATTCAGTCCGGGTGGGTCAGGGGCCTCTTATGGGATATAGACGGCAGAGACAATTAGCCGTCTAGAGTGCTGAAATTCGAAAGAAGCATTAAATTTAGTTATTTTCTAGCTAGTCGACAGGTTCTTACCTTCTCTCCCTTAGAGGCGGTAAACACCCCTCAAGCCAGTCACCTTATTTTTGTGGAGATATGGTTCCTGGATGAGCGCAATGTCCGTGTTTATGGATAAGAGGGTGGGCAGCAGCTCAGCAGCTGCTGCTTTACAATAATGCAGATTTATATGCACCATGTTTAGCGCCTGCTGTTGTTGTCTGTTTTCCTTTTTTACTTGCGGGAGGCAAAATTGTAGTTTCCCCATACCATAAAAAAGCTCACCTCTGTTCCTCCTTAGGCACTTTTCCCCAACAGAGAGGTGGTGAACTTAGCCGTTTCATCCTCATCTGAAGTCCGTCGGATTTAGTTCTAACAGTCCTAAAGAAAATATTCGTTAATAATTCAAGTTTTTTAGCTTTAATTCTTCCCTTAAGTAAGTTCCTATAAAAAATATTCTTCATAAACAAAGGTTTTTTGTTCCGATAGTCCCTCTTTAAAAATCCATGTTTTTAGTTCTGATAATCCCTCAGATATATTCTTTAAAAAATCTGCCAGAAATTTACATTTTTAAGGTATATTTATACTATGGTAATAATTCTTCAGAATATATTCATAAGATCACAGTGGGATTTTAGTAGGTATAATCCCTCACAACAATTTCTTAGAAATCCAGAATTCTACTTGGGACAGCAACCCGTAAACGTCTCTTTAAAAATCTACGTTATTATTTGCTTGAAAGACGCTACGACAGTGTACGTAATCTCCCTGAAGTTTAGGACATATCCCGGTATACCTACATACTTACACAAGTAACATTCTTCAGATCCATATAACAGCACAGGTAGTATCAGCGTCTTGTAGAGTGTGAGTTTGGTCGGCGAGAGGTGGCATTTTTCTTGAATTGCTTACTCAGGCCATAGTAGCATCTGTTGACCAACACTATTCTTCTCTGAATTTAAAAACTGATATCATTAGTATTGTTTATGGCGGTACCGAGGTATATAAAATCTTTGACTACATCGAAGCTGTAGTTCTCAAATTCCAAAGTTCTGTTTGGCGCAGAGTGAAAATCTGGTCAATGTTGGTCTGAAACTGCATTGGTATGGTCCAATAATGTCATTGACCATTGGCTTCAGTCGTTCACACTCACACTCCTCGTTCGTATTCCTCTATCCCAATTGTACTAATCAGTTGGTGCATGCTCCTGAACAGCATCTATCCACCGGTCTTGAATAGTTCGGCTGACATCATCGGCACCTGCTGCTTTATTATTCTTCAGCCGATTGTTTGCTTTCTGACCTCATCTTGGCTATGTGGTATACACTTCACTATTTGATACCAGAAGCTTTGCAAAATGTTCCTTCCAGATCGTGCACCAAAGCCTTCGGTTTGGTGTTTTATTCGTTTCCTCTCTCCTTTTTTCCGATAATTCTCCATTGCGTTACGTGTTGCTACCGTTTGCAGGGTTGCCCCATACGCTGTGTTTTTCAACTCAGTAGCATTACAATACTCCTGATCGTACCACGGGCTTCTAGGTAGTGGTCTTTGGTGTTGCTTTTGCTGCAGTTTGTAGGGAATGGGCAATTCTGTTTTATTATCGGGACAATGAGTGCTTTCGTCAAGCAAGTGGGTAAGTTGTAGGGAATGGGCAATTCTGTATTATTATCGGGACAAGGAGTGCTTTCGTCAAGCAAGTGGGTAAGTAAAGCGGAGTAGGCTTCTGCTATCTGTTGTGTTTGCAGCTTTTCGATGTCGAATTTCCATGTTACATTAGATCGCACCTTTGCTACTACATTAAGACGGGTGCGAACCACAAGGTAATGGTTCGAATCGATATTCACTCTTCGTTTCGATCGAACGTCTAAAATACTGGATGAATGACTACCGTCTTTCACAATATGACCAATTTGATTTCTCGCCGCTTAATCCAGGTTGCTTGGTGTATATCGAGATGCTTGAATCTGGTGCTCCTACTACCACGTTTTTTGCTGCCGCGAAGTCAATGAACCGCATGCCGTTGTCGGATGTTTCTTCCAACAGTGGGGCCAAAAATATTTTTGCCCTTCTATTTTTGCGTTAAAATCTCCCATAATTTTAATGTCATTGTCAAGGCAGCGCTCATATGCTGTTTCTAGGCGCTCGTAAAATATGTCTTTGGTCTGTTTATCTTTGCCTTCCGTCGGAGCATGGGCGCAAATAAGACTGATGTAGAAGAATTTCGCTTTTATACGGATTATAGCAATTCGCTCATCTACTTGAGTGAATCAGGAGAGGAGGTATTTTATTCTCCTGTAACCATAAATCCACAGCCCAATTCATGTCTCGTTTCATGGCAGCTATAATACAGGGCGTAATCATCTGATTTACTTACGCGAGTCCCTGTCCATTGCATTTCCTTTAATGCAATAATATCGGCTTTGTACTTCTTGAGTACATACGCCAAAGTGAAAACTGCACCTGTTCTGTACAACGGGGTTTAGTTTTCTTTCTCGTTGCTTTTTAATAAATTTTTTTCGAATGTGTGCTGAATTAAGATTTTCTATACTAAAACGTAGCTGAATTAGGTATTTCTATAGTAAAACGCAGATAAATTCTGTTTTTCTTTAAGTCAACGTTGCGAAATTGTATTTTTCTATACTAATACTCCTCTAAATTGCATTTTTCTATTGAAAAACTTAGCTGAATTGCGATTTTCTATAGAAAAACTTGGCTGAATGGTTTTGGTATACATTAAAACCTTGCTTAAGGAACTTTTTCTTGATTAAATCATAGCTGAATTGCGATTTTCAATAGAAATACTTAGCTGAACGGCTCCAGCCTACATTAAAACCTTGCTAAAGAGACATTTTCTTTATTAAATCATAGCTGAATTGAGTTTTCAATCAAAAAACTTCGCTGAATTTTGATTTTCTATAGAAATACTTAGCCGAATGGCTCTAGCCTACATTAAAACCTTGCTAAAGAGATTTTTTCTTGATAAAAACAGCTGAATTGGGGTTTTCCAATAAAAAACTTAGTATAATTGCAGTTTTTACAGAAAAACTTAGCTGAATGGATTTAGTCTACATTAAAACGTGGCTACGAAGTGCTACTTCATATCAAAACACAGCTGAATTAAGTTTTTCAATTGAAAAACTTAGCTGAATTGCAAGTTACTACAGAAAATCTTCGCTGAATGGCTTTAATTTACATTGAAACATCTCTAAAGACTTTTTCACGATAATTAAGATTTTCCATTGAAAAACTTAGCTGAATTGCAATTTTCTATAGAAAAACCTAACTGAATTGCAATTTGGTGAACTCGATTATTATTATGATAAACTCATAGGCAGTATGATCTATAGTTTTAAAAAATATATTGAGCTGCAAAATATTTGGTTTTATACAAAAAGTATATATATTTTATTAAAAAAAAAAATAAATACATAAAGACAAAAAATATATATGCAAAACATATTTAAATTTTACAAAAAAAAGGTATTTGTATATGTCTACAAGTAAATTCCTTAAATCTAACAGTGTCACACAAAATTGGTATGCCAATTGCAATACAGTTATAAATTAGAATTTATATAAAAGTAGTTATGTATTTATTTGTATAGCACATTTTTCAATTGTGATTTGTTGATCTCTTTACAACATTGTTCGCACAAATAGTATATAGTTTTAAAGATTACAGTTGAACACGAAAAGCAAGTTTGTCATTTGTTTTCTTATTTGCTTTAATCCAAAGGCACTTTGGTTTTATAGACATTTTTTATAAAATTATTGTTATTATGGGGGTGGGGAATAGATTTTGAAAACATGTTAATATTTTCGATTTCTTTTGGTGCTTCGAACATTTTTCAAATATTGATTGTTATTATCGCGAGGGGAATAGATTCTGAAAACATGATAACATAAATCTCAATTTATATATTTAATGCTTTCAATTATTGATCTAATACTCGAATTTTCACTGAATCATGTCTTCCCTCAGAAGCGTGGTAGGTATTTCTTTAAATACGCATTAGCTAATTATAAATATTATGGTATAAAAAATATATTTATATTTATATTTATCTCGTTGTACATACACATACATGCTTTTTAATCTTACAAATACATTGGTAAAAAAATATTAAATACACTTTATATATGTATTATGTTATTATTGTTATAAATAAGTAAATCGTTTGTGCTCTTCTATCTTTCAAAATAATTAGTTAATTAACTTAAAAATACTCTTGTCGGGGAAAATAGTCCGGGAGAAATATATGTATCAGTGTACCGGTCATCATTAAGGCAAAAAAGAAGATAACAGCAATCCACCATAGAATACGTTCCCAGCGGCGTACCTCCAAATTTCGTAGAACACCTATGCCCACCAGAAGCCCGGCAATGGCACCCGACAAATGCGCCATATAACCAATTTGATCATGCTGATCGGTAATGTGACGATATATCGATGTACCCAAATCGGTAAGGCAGAATATAAGAAAAACAAATAGCTGGACAATGGCATATTCCATTTCATTCCAATTCTGCAAAAAATAAAAAAAAAAACAAAAACATTTTTAATATTTTTTTTTCAAATTTCTTCGTCATGTTTTCCAACTTACCATAATAATAGTGGCAATATGGGCCGTAATCAAGGCATACACCCCACCCGATGCTCCGGCTAAGAAAATTCTTGGACTTGTCAATGATGTACCCATGGAACCGGCAACCACACCAGCCAAGTATACCAAGGCCACACGCCACCAATGATGCACCAATTCCAAGGCCACGCCCAAGAAAATTTGTATAATCAAATTCATAAAGAGATGCATTAGGCCGACATGTACAAACATATAGGTGACAAAACGCCACGATTCATAACGTTTGTATGGATTATAAATGAACAGAGTTGCGGCAGGACCATTTGTATTCTCGCCAATGCGTCGATTGTTGTCTGGATCATCTCTGAAAGGAGAGGAAAAGAAAAAAATACGTTAGTTTATAAAAGCTGACGCAGGAAATATTTATATCTGTGTATGTAGAACTGAAAAAAGCCACTGAAAAGTAACCAGGCTGAAGGTCTCGTAAACTTTTTAGACGCACAAACCCTCTAGAGATCATGATCGACTAGCTGAAGTCAAGGGCACTTTATTGGAAAGCTAAGGAACTGAAATTCATTATAGACAGTTCTGCCGAACTGAATTCTTCTGAATATTCATAGACAAACATAACACCAGGGAGAATTCATAAACATCTGAAGGCCTGAAAATGTTTCACACTATCTATTCTCGCATATCGTCATATTATAGGCGAACTAATGTCTTATAATCAAACCGAAGAACAGAGATTTGCAGGAAATGCGATGGAAAAGGACTGGAGTAAGTAAATCAGATGATTACGGAATGTATCATAACTCACATGAATTTGGCTGGGGATTTATGGTTAACAGAAGAATAAAAGAGCCAGATTCACTCCAGTAGATGAGCGAATTGCTATAATCCGTACAAAAGTCAAGTTCTTCTACATCAGTTTTATTTGCGCCCATGCTCCAACCGAAGACAAAGATGAACAGACCAAAAACATTTTTTTCAAGCGCCTAGAAACATCATATGAGCGCTGCCTTGGCCATGAACATTAAAATTCTGCTAGGAGATCTTAATGCAAAAATCGGAAGGAAAAGCATTTTTGGCTCCACCGTCAGAAAATTCAGCCTCCATGAATAAACATCCGACAAGGGCATTGAGGTTGATCGGCAGCAAAAAACATGGTAATTAGCAGCATCAGATACAAACATCTCGATATACACAAGGTCACTTGGATTTCACTCGATCAAACAGCGAGAAATCAAAATCATTATGTTGTGGTAGACTGAAGGCATTCATCCACTGTTTGAGATGTTCGATCGATCCAAGGAGCGAATATCGATTCGGACCACTACCTTGTAGCAGCCAAGGTTCGCTCTTAATGTAGCAGCAAAGGTGCGGTCTAACACAACAGATGGCAGAAGCCTACTCCGCTCAACTTATCCACCTGCTTGACGGAAGCACGCCTTGTCTCAATAATAGTATAGAAGCACAATGGCAATGAATTGTCCTCACCCTACAAACTGTAGCAAAAGCAACACTTGGGTACCAAAGACCACCATCAAGAAATCCGTGGTACGATCAGGAGTGTCGAAATGCTACTCATATGAAAAACGCAGAGTATAGGGCAACCCTGCAGACAGTAGCAAAACGTAATGCGAGACTGAATTAGCGGAAAAAAGGTGAGAGGAGAAACGTATTTTCCGAAAAAAGAGGAAAGAACAAAAAGAACGTGAGTGGGAGCATATCGAGATATGCAGGAGTGAGAATGAAGTCCGGAAATTTCACCAACGATTCAAACGCCAAACCGTCGTCTTTGTAGCAGAACATCCTCCTGTAGAGATGAAGAAGGAAACCTGGTCACATATACAGACAGCGTGCTGAGGATCTGGAAGGAGCATTTTGAAAAGCTTTTGGTATCAAATAGTGTCGGTGAAGAAGATACCCCAGAACCAATAAGATATGATGGTATAGACTGTATACCACCTATCCAAGATGAGGTCAGAATAGAAATTATTCGGCTGAAGAATAAAAAAGCAGCAGCCAAACTATTAAAGACCGGTGGTCAGATTCAGTTCAGAAGCATGCACCAGCTGATTAATACAATTTGGCTAGAGAAATGCATGCCATATGATGGGAACCTCAGCATCCAGTGTCCAGTGCACAAAAAAGGAGACAAGACGATATGTGCCAACTATAGAGGAAAATGACTTCTTCCCATCGCATATAAAGTGCTATTCAGCGTGATGTGTGAACGACTGAAGCCAATGGTCAATAATATTATTGAACCATATCAATGCGTCTTCAGACCTGGCAATCCACCATTGGCCCGAGTGAAATCAGGATCTGACACCAGATCCTGGAAAAGATCAACGAAATACCCATCAACACATTCCACGTATTCATCGGCTATAAAACCGCAATCGACAGCCCAATCTGTTCAGAGGTGTTTAAAGAAATGCCGTTCGACATTTCTGCAAAACTAGTACGGCTATGCAGGATAACTTTAACTGGCACAAGGTCAGTAGTTAAAGTCGGAAAGGAACTTTCGGAGCCCTTCAATACCGAACAAAGATTTAGACAAGGTGACAGATTGTCGTGTGAATTTTTTAACATCCTGCTGGATGTAAAAGTGAACAGAAAAGACACACTGTACACCAAACAACGCATGATACTCGCCCACGCCGACGACATCAACATAATGGGTCGAACATTGCGAGTGGTAACAGCCATCTTTGAACGAATTGAGAAAGAGTCTCCCAAAGTGGGACTGGCAGTAAATGGCGAGAAGACCAAGCTAATGGCATCAAGGCGCAAGGCGTCCAGTAGACTCCGACCAACTGTGGAACTTGAAAACTATAGTCAAAGATTTCATCTATCTCGGTACCGCCATAAACAAAACAAATGACATCAGTTTAAGTATAGCATTGGTCAACAGATGCTACCATGGTCTAAGTAAGCAATTTAAAAACAAGGCTACCTCTTGCCATATCAGAAGCATGGGTACTTGCGCAAGCAGATGAGGCAGCTCTTGGAATGTTTGAGAGGAAAATTATCCGAAAGATCTATGACCCGATCTGCGTCACCGGTAAATATCGCCGTCGAATGAACAATGTGTTATACCATCTATTCTCGGACATCGACATATTCAGAAGTATCGAGCTGCAGCGACAACGTTGGCTAGGCCATGTTGTGAGAATGGATGAGTATGTCCCAGCACAAAAGTAGATCCAAATTGATTCTTTGAAATCGAAGTGATGGGAGTCTTTACAAATGTTTCAAATGTTAAAGACAGATTTACCGATGTGTGAGGAATTTCTTTCTCAATACTTATTCATAAGAATCTATATTATAATAGTTCTGTGGTTTCGTATGAAACAAAAAAATACAATACCTATGTATATCATACATCATTTTTTTTCAAAAAAGAACGCGCATTATTAATTATTTATAATTACGGATTATTTATAATTTTCTTAATTGTTGAAATTACACCAGAAAGCTATTTCTCATACTTAGGCTATTCTTTATTTAAGAATTATTTCCATTATTGAGGTATGGCTGTCACGGTCACGCAACATGTTCCCTACATACGAGGATTTAGATAATATTTTATCGTAAATAAATATCGTACCTAGCACATACCCCTTCTGACAACTTATTACGTGTTTTATTTACCTTCCAAAAAAAGAGAATTTGGAACCATAAAAATAAACAGACAAATGACCAACAAACAAAAAATAACAACCAAAATAATTCACAGAACACCATCTGAATTTCTAATTAGAATAATAAGAAAACAACAATTATAAAAACAATAACAACAATATTTTTTTTAAATCCACCAACTATACTTACTGAAAATGTATAACATCGACGAGAAACATTATTATCTCCACCAATGAAAATATCACCATAGTCAATGGTGGTGGACATATCGACATTTGTTTTTCATAGGCCCCATCTATTTCATCGCCCTCCAGGGGTTTTGGTGGTGGTACAACCATTCGACAATATGATGCCAATAGATTGCGGATCATCCATTTGTGTCGCTTCGACATCACATAGAATTCTTCAAAATCCAAATAGCCATTATTATCGCTATCGGACATTTTCAAAATCTGTTGAGCTACATGTTGGGGAATGTTCAGCCTCCATGAATAAACATCCGACAAGGGCATTGAGGTTGATCGGCAGCAAAAAACATGGTAATTAGCAGCATCAGATACAAACATCTCGATATACACAAGGTCACTTGGATTTCACTCGATCAAACAGCGAGAAATCAAAATCATTATGTTGTGGTAGACTGAAGGCATTCATCCACTGTTTGAGATGTTCGATCGATCCAAGGAGCGAATATCGATTCGGACCACTACCTTGTAGCAGCCAAGGTTCGCTCTTAATGTAGCAGCAAAGGTGCGGTCTAACACAACAGATGGCAGAAGCCTACTCCGCTCAACTTATCCACCTGCTTGACGGAAGCACGCCTTGTCTCAATAATAGTATAGAAGCACAATGGCAATGAATTGTCCTCACCCTACAAACTGTAGCAAAAGCAACACTTGGGTACCAAAGACCACCATCAAGAAATCCGTGGTACGATCAGGAGTGTCGAAATGCTACTCATATGAAAAACGCAGAGTATAGGGCAACCCTGCAGACAGTAGCAAAACGTAATGCGAGACTGAATTAGCGGAAAAAAGGTGAGAGGAGAAACGTATTTTCCGAAAAAAGAGGAAAGAACAAAAAGAACGTGAGTGGGAGCATATCGAGCCAAACTATTAAAGACCGGTGGTCAGATTCAGTTCAGAAGCATGCACCAGCTGATTAATACAATTTGGCTAGAGAAATGCATGCCATATGATGGGAACCTCAGCATCCTGTGTCCAGTGCACAAAAAGGAGGCAAAGAACAAGTCTCCTTCCCATCGCATATAAAGTGCTATTCAGCGTGATGTGTGAACGACTGAAGCCAATGGTCAATAATATTATTGAACCATATCAATGCGTCTTCAGACCTGGCAATCCACCATTGGCCCGAGTGAAATCAGGATCTGACACCAGATCCTGGAAAAGATCAACGAAATACCCATCAACACATTCCACGTATTCATCGGCTATAAAACCGCAATCGAAAGCCCAATCCGTTAAGAGGTGTTTAAAGAAATGCTGTTCGGCATTTTTGCAAAACTAGTACGGCAATGAAGGATAACTTTAACTGGCACAAGGTCAGTAGTTAAAGTGGGAAACAAGGTGACAAAGATTTGGACAAGGTGACAGATTGTCGTGTGAATTTTTTAACATCCTGCTGGATGTAAAAGTGAACAAAAAAGACACACTGTACACCAAACAACGCATGATACTCGCCCACGCCGATGACATCAACATAATGGGTCGAACATTGCGAGTGGTAACAGCCATCTTTGAACGAATTGAGAAAGAGTCTACCAAAGTGGGACTGGCTGCAAATGGCGAGAAGACCAAGCTAATGGCATCAAGGCGCAAGGCGTCCAGTAGACTCCGACCAACTGTGGAACTTGAAAACTATAGTCAAAGATTTCATCTATCTCGGTACCGCCATAAACAAAACAAATGACATCAGTTTTAAGATACGGAGAAGTATAGTATTGGTCAACAGATGCTACCATGGTCTAAGTAAGCAATTTAGAAACAAGGCTACCTCTTGCCATATCAAAAGCATGGGTACTTGCGCAAGCAGATGAGGCAGCTCTTGGAATGTTTGAGAGAAAAATTATCCGAAAGATCTATGACCCGATCTGCGTCACCGGTAAATATCGCCGTCGAATGAACCATGTGTTATACCATCTATTCTCGGACATCGACATATTCAGAAGTATCGAGCTGCAGCGACAACGTTGGCTAGGCCATGTTGTAAGAATGGATGGGTATGTCCCAGCACAAAAGTAGATCCAAATTGATTCTTTGAAATCGAAGTGATGGGAGTCTTTACAAATGTTTCAAATATTAAAGATGTGTGAGGAATTTCTTTCTCAGACTGAATACTTATTCATGAGAATCTATATTATAATAATTCTGTGGTTTCGTATGAAGCAAAAAATACAATACCTATGTATATCATACATCATTTTTTTTTTTCAAAAAAAGAACATGCATTATTAATTATTTATAATTACGGATTATTTATAATTTTCTTAATTGTTGAAATTACACCAGAAAGCTATTTCTCATACTTAGAAATGGTTATTCTTTATTTAAGAATTATTTCCATTATTGAGGTATGGCTGTCACGGTCACGCAACATGTTCCCTACATACGAGGATTTAGATAATATTTTATCGTAAACAAATATCGTACATATCGCACATACCCCTTCCTCTTTCCCACAACTTATTATGTGTTTTATTTACCTTTAAAAACAACAGAATTTGGACTCTTAAAAATAAACGGACAAATGACCAACAAACAAAAAATAACAACCAAAATAATTCACAGAACACCATCTGAATTTCTAATTAGAATAATAAGAAAACAAAAATTATAAAAACAATAACAACAATAATTTTTTAAATCCACCAACTATACTTACTGAAAATGTATAACATCGACGAGAAACATTATTATCTCCACCAATGAAAATATCACCATAGTCAATGGTGGCGGACATATCGACATTTGTTTTTCATAAGCCCCATCGATTTCATCGCCCTCCAGGGGTTTTGGTGGTGGTACAACCATACGACAATATGATGCCAATAGATTGCGTACCATCCATTTGTGGCGCTTCGACATCACATAGAATTCTTCAAAATCCAAATAGCCATTATTATCGCTATCGGACATTTTCAAAATCTGTTGAGCTACATGTTGGGGAATGTCACTGCATAGACCAGCTTCAATTAGACCCTTCAATTCGTGTATGCTAATTTTGCCATCAGCATCGGCATCATGCTGTAAAGAGAGAGAAAAAAAAACAAATATATGTATGTGAGAAGAAAATTAAATTCAAATCAAAACAAATAATAGTGCTGCCGAATGAATGGATTTCATTCATTCGCCACCACCAGCCAGCCAAGGGAGGTTCATTGAACTCGGAATTTATTTTGTGTGAGTTTTTTTTGTTCGGTATACAATTATAGTGTTAGTGCAAATTTATTTATTGTTTTTAGAAGAAAATAAAACTTAAGAGCAACGATAGACGCAATGAAAGTCTAGAGGGTTTTAGATGTTAACTAAAAAGGGTATTTAAAATGATGCTGAAGTGGCTCTTCGAAGTGGTCCTTAAGGAATATTTATAGAGGAACTGAATATGTATTTTTATACGAACTAAGTATTGTTTATATATGAGGAAGTATTTTTTCAACACCTGAAGACCAGCTGAATTGAGCATTTATAGAGGAGATGAAGAGAGTATATAAAGACGAGTTGAATGAAATCTTTCAAAGACGAGCAGAAGGGAGTCTTTTTTATAGACGAGCTGAAGGGAGTCTTTCATAGACGAGCTGAAGGGAGTATTTCATAGACGAGCTGAAGGGAGTCTATTTTCATAGACGAGCTGAAGGGAGTCTTTTTTCATAGACGAGCTGAAGGGAGTCTTTTTTCATAGACGAGCTGAAGGGAGTCTTTTTTCATAGACGAGCTGAAGGGAGTCTTTTTTCATAGACGAGCTGAAGGGAGTCTTTTTTCGTAGACGAGCTGAAGGGAGTCTTTCATAGACGAGCTGAAGGGCGTCTTTTTTGGACGAGCTGACGGGAGTCTTTCATAGACGCGCTGACGGGCGTCTTTCATAGACGAGCTGAAGGGGTCGATCATAGACGAGCTGAATGAAGTCTTTCATAGACGAGCTGAGGGGAGTCTTTCATAGACGAGCTTAAGGAAGTCTTTATAGACGAGCTGAAGGGAGTCTTTATAGACGAGCTGAAGGGAGTCTTTATAGACGAGCTGAAGGGAGTCTTTATAGACGAGCTGAATGCAGGTAGTCTTTATAGACGAGCTGAAGGCAGCTGAAGGAAGTCTTTATAGACGAGCTGAAGGGAGTGAAGGGAGTCTTTTTAGACGAGCTGAAGGGAGTCTTTATAGACGAGTGTCTTTATAGACGAGCTGAAGGGAGTCTTTATAGACGAGCTGAAGGGAGTCTTTATAGACGAGCTGAAGGGAGTCTTTATAGAGGAGCTGAAGGGAGTCTTTCATAGACGAGCTGAGGGGAGTCTTTCATAGACGAGCTGAAGGGAAGTATTTATAGACCAGCTGAAGGGAGTCTTTATAGACGAGCTGAATAGACGAGCTGAAGTCTTTCTTTATAGACTGAGCTGAAGCTGAAGGGAGTCTTTATAGACGAGCTGAAGGGAGTCTTTATAGACGAGCTGAAGGGAGTCTTTATAGACGAGCTGAAGGGAGTCTTTATAGACGAGCTGAAGGGAGTCTTTATAGACGAGCTGAAGGGAGTCTTTATAGACGAGCTGAAGGGAGTCTTTATAGACGAGCTGAAGGGAGTCTTTATAGACGAGCTGAAGGGAGTCTTTATAGACGAGCTGAATGGGAGTCTTTATAGACGAGCTGAAGGGAGTCTTTATAGACGAGCTGAAGGGAGTCTTTATAGACGAGCTGAAAGGAAGTATTTATAGACCAGCTGAAGGGAGTCTTTATAGACGAGCTGAAGGGAGTCTTTATAGACGAGCTGGAGGGAGTCTTTATAGACGAGCTGAATGGGGACTTTATAGACGAGCTGAATGGAGTCTTATAGAAATTCTTCTTAGTCTTTATAGACGAGCTGAAGGGAGTCTTTATAGACGAGCTGAAAGGAAGTATTTATAGACCAGCTGAAGGGAGTCTTTATAGACGAGCTGAAGGGAGTCTTTATAGACGAGCTGAAGGGAGTCTTTATAGACGAGCTGAAGGGAGTCTTTATAGACGAGCTGAAGGGAGTCTTTATAGACGAGCTGAAGGGAGTCTTTATAGACGAGCTGAAGGGAGTCTTTATAGACGAGCTGAAGGGAGTCTTTATAGACGAGCTGAAGGGAGTCTTTATAGACGAGCTGAAGGGAGTCTTTATAGACGAGCTGAAGGGAGTCTTTATAGACGAGCTGAAGGGAGTCTTTATAGACGAGCTGAAGGGAGTCTTTATAGACGAGCTGAAGGGAGTCTTTATTCTTCTTAGTCTTTATAGACGAGCTGAAGGGAGTCTTTATAGACGAGCTGAAGGGAGTCTTTATAGACGAGCTGAATGGGGACTTTTTAGACGAGCTGAATGGAGTCTTATAGAAATTCTTCTTAGTCTTTATAGACGAGCTGAAGGGAGTCTTTATAGACGAGCAGAAGGGAGTCTTTATAGACGAGCTGAAGGGAGCCTTTATAGATATATAGACGAGCAGAAAAATGGTCTGAAGATCAGATATTCTATACTGACGCGCTGAAAACCAATGACTATATATAATGATTTGAGGACAGGGTGTATTGTAGGTAATCTGAAAGCTAGGTAATCGAACCAAGAAACCTTTGTAGGCAATTGAAAGAAGAATTTCAGATAATCCGAAGCACGGAATATCAACAGAACAGGGCAATCTGAAGGGACTCACTATAGAAAATCTGAATGGGGTCTTTATAGACGAGCTGAATGGAGTCTTTTAGAAGAACAGAAGGGAGTATTTATTGACGAACTGAAGCGGTTCTTTATAGACCAGCTAGAGGTGGTTCTGAAGAAGCGAGTATTTATAGACGACCAGATATTTCCTATGCTGACGCGCTGAAAACCAGTGAATCGATGCAATGAGTTGAGTAGGGGATCTGAACGCTATGTAATCGAATAAAAAAACGTTTATAGACAATCTAAAGAAAAAGTTTCAGATAACCCGAAGCATGGAATCTCAACAGAACAGGAACAGGAGAGAACGTTAATTAAGAAATGTCCCATTTTTGGATTTTAACCAAATTATGATCGGCTCAAAGTTTTGTGAAACTTTGATCGGCTCTCAGTTTCACAAAATATTTATACCCACTGTGTACGTAGTATTTTATGTAAGTATGTCAGATTGAAAAAAACCAAACAACTTTTTTGTATTATCTCCAAAAATAGTATTGTTGTAGATTTCAGCTTGATTTCATTCACGCAACTTTTATTGACTATATTCGGTAATAACGCAATAGCAAATGCAATCAATCTACAATTGAAAATGTTAAAAAAAAACTAAAAACAATGAACATTTATGCCATGTGGGAGGGGCGACAGGTGTTACGATAGAACAAAACACTAACCAACCAATAAAATTCGGCTCATAGCTTGGGGATGAAAGGACAAATTGTTCAGAGGTTTCAGCGGGTTTTAATCTCCGATATTGTGGCTTGGGATAATAGGAGTTTAACGAGTCAGCTATGGATACAAATGTGTACCCTCACAAATAAAATTTAAAGAGGAGAACTTGTGGTTTTGGGCTTCTGTCCATAGGTGAAAGACTATTCTAAAAGAGTCCGGTGGAAATTTTAAATCCCATATTTAAGGAAGTATGGATAGACTTCTTCAAAAAATATATACATTTTATAATTAAGACTTCAAAATTCCACGACCAGCCCTAAACTTCAATGTTTCCTGTTCATTTATCGAATTGTATAAATTTATCTTTTGTACGTAGATTTTTTTCTAATGAGTGTATATACATATTTAGCCATTAATAATTAAAGAATTATAAACAGAACGGTCAATACGCTTCACCTCTCCTGCATTTAAACTATCATCTAAAAAATATGGGTCAAAATATTTGTATTAACGATATAAATTATTTAAACGCCATTAAAATATGTGGGTTTTTAATCGCGTGGCATCGACCAGTCAATCATTCAGTCTAAAAATAGTTAACTCAACAAAACAAACGTAGATATATAAATACGTGTGTGCAGTTCCAATCGATGAGATGAAGTCGGGGAGTGTGCCATTAATTTCTGAATCATACATTCCGTTTAGAGTAGAGGGGGCTTGCATTTAAATCCCATTAAGGTAAACACGTTTTCATTTTTTTATAAATATAAAACCTCAATAGTAGTCATATTAAATTAAATATACAACAGCAACTACAATAATTGTATTTTTTCAAGATATTACAAAACAAGTGCACTAGAAGTTGTTGTAATTGAAAAAATATTGGAATTTTTTATAATTGAGTTTGGGGTGCGAAGTAATTTATATTTGACACCTGAGACTTACTGAGTATTTTTAAATTAAATTTTAGAATGCATTAATTTTTTAAATGTCATACACACCATAGCCCTTTACAATACATTTTCACCCTAGAATAAAATTCTATGCCGATTTGCCATATCCGTCTATTAGAAATCTCAATATTTAGGGTAGAGCTGAGCAAATAAGTGCCGAGCTGATGGGAGTTTTTTTCAGACGAACTAGCAGTTCTTATAGACTGATGTAGTCCTTATAGACGTTCTGATGGGAATCCTTATAGACAAACTGAGGGAGTCTTTATATCACGAATTCCACAAAAAGGTCAACCACACAGGTGAAAAATCAATTCGTTAAGAGAGATATGAAATTATATAGGAAATATTCTTTGCAATCCGGACAATATATTTTTAGTTGAATTTTGAAAAATAACCATAGTTTTTCTTTTCGTTGTACCATTTTCGCGTGGAGAGTAACTTGGGCATATTTTTATTAGTTTTAGAGTGTAATTTGTCGTAAGTGTGAACGCTGTTAGCTAAAACAATATCAATAATAAATATTAAATTCAAATAAAGTAATATCTTACTAAGAATTACATATATATAAACCTATACATATACCAAGAGAATCCCGTGGTAAGTGCAGTTAAATAGTGTAAGAAAATATGTAACGCGTGCGTGACAAAATTAGCATATTTTTCTATACAGAACCTAATATGAGAAATTTTTTTTTGATAATGCTGTTATGTGTGGATCTTGAGATGACAAATTCAAATAAAACAAAGTTT